GGGAGGGGGGAGATGGAGAGGGGAGGGGGGAGGATGGAGGGAACACATGAGCAGCATAGTAATGGAGGAGGAAAAATGGATGACAGCATGCAGTTGTGGTTATATGGTGAACGTTTGCAATTCTCAGGAAGAGCATAGAGCACGGCGAGGAAGTGAAGGGAGCTTGTGCGAGCTGGTCTGAAGGACGCGGCCTGGGGGAAAAGCAGTTACTCAACCCAACAGCTGAAGTTCGTGGGTCAACGACTATGAGGGCCTCAGGAAACGCCCACGTGAGTGAATCCTAGCCTTTTTGCATGTGTATGTGCTGATCGATTGTGCGTGCTTGATTTGTAAAGGATATTACAACATGAATTCATTGTTTTTTCCCTACCATTGCCCTTGTGTACTGCCCTCACAATTCCCTCCTCTGTCCACTTTCATCATGCTTCCTCCCCCTCCAGCATCCCCTCTTTATTCCCCTCTACCTCTCCCCATCGCACCACCTCTCCATGTTTGTTGTCTGTTACTTGGTCTTGCTCCCCAGATCCCCCCATCCCCCATCCCCTCCCCCCTTCCGCCTCTTCCACCCCACGCCTCCCAGACCCCCTGCCCTCAGTCAGACTGCTGAGCTTCTTCTCTTTCCGTCTTGCCTTGCTCCCTCCCACCAGCACCACCTACCGCCGCTCACGGGGACAGGGGCGCAGGCGCCGCCTTCTCCACCAGCCACCAGCTCCTGCACTGCAGCTTGGGAAGAAAGGGTCTGCACCAGCTCCTGAGTGGGAAGAAAGGGTGTGTGGGAGCAAGCAGGCGGGGTGTATGGGCACAAGCAGGGGAAATGTGGGCGCGAGCAAGGGGGGTGTGTGGGCGTGAAAAAGGAGGGTGTGTGGGCGAGTCGGGAGGGGTCTGGGCGTGGAAAGGGGGGGTGTGGGCGCGAGCAGGGAGGGGTGTGGACGTGAGCAAGAGGGGGCGCGGTGTGGGCGCGGGCAAGGGGAGATGTGGGCGCGAGCATGGGGGGGATGTGTGTGGGAGTAATGGGGGTGTGGGTGCGAGCAGAAATGGCCGGCCTTATATGCCGAGCCGTGGGCCGGTATCCAGCAAGCTGGGCCAGGCCCGGCACGTGCTTATGCCTGTTGTTCTCGAGTGGCCCCGCCTGTGCCTGTGCCAAGCATTTATGCAATATCCCACGGATAGAGTAGCATTAGACTGTTGCGGCCTTGCATTATCCCTCCCCCCTCCTCCATCCTCTCCGTTCCCCCCTCTCGCACTCAGCTTATGTGCGTTGGCAGTGTGTTTGTCCTCCATTGTTGTCCTTGCTTCGTTACCTCTTCCCCAACCCCCGCTCCCTTCTTCCCTCTCGTCCTTCCTCCCCGTCATTCTTCCTCTCTCACTCAGTTAAGTGCGGTGCAGACAATATGTTCATGTGCTCATGCCTGCGTTCCTTGCTGCCCTGCTTTCGTACGCCCCCTCACCCCTTCCCTCTTCCTTCCCGCCCTCCGCTCTCTCTTATACAGCTACTGTGCGTTGATTCTGACTGTGTGTTTGTGGGCACGTGGCACGGCATGGCATATCAGCGGAGGCAAGAACCATCAGAGGCGCCAAACAGTGTAGCCCGAAGCATTGCCTTGGCAAATATGAGCCACAAGATTCGCATGGTGAGGTGAGTGGTTGGGTGGGTGGTATGTGTGCATGTGCATGGTTTGCAGTGCATGGTATGGTTTTTGCAAGGCGTTTGTGGCCATATGGCACCAGTGCATGGTTGAGTATGGGTACTCAACCAAGCATGTTCCTTTTGTACACCAGCCAACAACCCCTTCCCCTCATCTTTACCTCCCCTTTCCCTCCCCTTTCTCTCTTCTTCCCCTCCCCGTCCCCTCCCTTTCCTCTCCCCTTCGCAAATGCCATGTTTAAACCGCTATCTTAGTTTTAAAAGCTTTTCTATATTCTACCATGTTTTTTTGCTCCCCTTCCCCTCCCCTTCCTCTCCCCTTCTGCTCTCCTTTCGCTCCCCTTTCCCTTTCCCTCCGTCCCATCCCCCTCACCTCCCCCTCCCCCCCTCGTCCCGTCCCACTCGCCTCCCCCTTCCCTTTTCCCTCCCCCCCCCCCCTTCCCCCCTCCATCACTCCCCTTTCACTCCCCTTTCCGTCCCCAACCCTTCCCTTTTCCCTCCCCCCCTTCTCCCGTTCCCCTCCCCTATCCCTCTCATCACATGCACCTGAATCAGCTCTGACCCGTCCAACATTGACACCCAGTACCTGCTTCTGTAGGGCGTGCCTTTCTGCCTTGCCATGAGCGTCAGGGAGGCAACAGCCCCGCTTTACCCTAATATGGTATGCCGCTTCAGGGGGCGTGCCTTTCTGCCTTGCCTCCCTTGCTGCAGCAGAGAGGGCCTTCAGGTGAATGTGAATGGGGGTTAACGGGTGGTGGGGTTAAGGGGCGGTGTTGAGCGGCAGTGCGGGCGAGATGAGAACTGCTGCACCTGTTGTGGTGACTCGTGAGTCCATTGTTGAAACCGAGAATATGCGGGCGTTTATATGGATGTGCGCGGGAGCACTGATGGGCAATGTCGGCCTTCCCTACCAGCTGTCAGCACTCCCCGTTTCTCACCCAGTTTTCCATTTTCCTCCCTTCACCTCCCCCCTCCCTCCACCTCTCCCTCCCCTCCCCGCCACCCCCCCCCCCCTCCCCCCCTTTCTCCCTATTCCATACTCCTGTCTCCCACCAGCTCAACAAAACTGCATCAGTTTGTTCATTGGGGGCAATCCACGGAGGGCAACGGGACTCCCTTCTTACCAGCTGGATCTCTTCGCTGCAGCCTGGATTGACTCACATGTGCCTCGATGCAGGGAGAGTGCGGCAGATTGTTCTGAATTTCCCGCTCAAGACGATCCGGCGTCAGTGCAGCTCTGAGTGCAGCAGATATTATTTCTTGGCGCCTAAAAAAACTACAAGTTCTTAAACAAAATGAATGTTTCGAAGTTCACGGCTCATCTCGTACCTTATCCCCACGCCTCACCCCACATCTCAACCCATGCCTCATCCCGTACTGTTGTAATTTCATATTTCATACAACATACATAGGCTAGAAGTGTAGCACATTCATAAATTGGGGGGTTGCTTAGTGTACCCTCCAACCACATTTTGTGGTTGGTTGGGATTGGTCCTTAGCTCAACCAATCTCAACCAACACACATTTGTGGTTGCTTGGGTCACAAGCAAGCTCACCCATTGGCCAACTTATTGGCCAATAGGGTAAGCTTTCCTCTCATCTCTCTTTTGCTCATTGTTTGTACTAAAGAGCCTCTTGGCTCATCATTCAATGTATCAATTCTAGCTTTCTAACACGTACCTCGTCCGATAGCTCATCCCATTATCCCATATACACACCCCTTTGCACTCTCGTTTCTGAAGTTGTGGCAGCAACTGGATTTTGTTGTCTTCCATCATGCTAAGATTGACAACAGGCTCAAGTGGTACACTTTCTACCTTTCCCCAATAGTCTGACCTCCGTAACTAGTTATCGGTAAGTTAACATGTACTTCCTACCTACCTGCGTACAGGCAAAGCTCGCCCAGTCACCAACTTGCAAACACCTCTTTCCAATTTATTCCTTGCCTACAAGTTTCTCCTCGGTAGCTGTTGATGTCCCTTTCCCCCTTCATCAGTCTCCACCACGCTACCTACCCTCTATTACCAACATAATTCCCTTCAGGAATAGCAGGGACCTCAGTTCTCATGATACCGCACGACTGCTGTGCCATCCAGGTCAAGCATCTCAGACCCTATATCCACCATCTCAGCAAATCATGGGTACCGGTAATACTGGGGCAGTATCAAAGGAACACGAAAAATCCCACAGACTGTACTCAGGTGTTCATGTTATTGAAACACTGTCTTGCTAGTTTCATCATACCCAACACGCTATACCCTCCCCTCCCCTTGTTGCAGATATTTGCAAACCCTGCACCCAAACAGCCAGGCATTTCTCATGCGGCCATGGGAGACATTACTCACACCTAATCTCAACGCTCGCCTGCTGCTGCTGTTGCCGCTGCTGCTGCCACCGCTGCCGCCACTGCTGCTGCCACTGCTGCCGCCACTGCTGCCGCCATTGCTGCCGCCGCTACTGCAGCCGCTGCTGCAGCCGCTGCTGCAGCCACTGCTGTTGTACCCACCATGCTCATCTCCCTCTCTGTTCTCTTGCCCGCCCTTGTCCCCAGCTTCTCTGCCTTGCCTCCCCTTCCACTCCTGCTCCACGTGGCCTCCCCCTTCCACTTCCCCTTCCCTGTCCGCCCTGCTATGGACTGCTTCCCCCTCCATCAGAAGAATCATGGCAAGCAATTCCTATGCAGCTCCCTTTATGCACACTGTAGTCTCTTTCCCAAACAGCCCCGCATCTACTTCCGCATGCATGCCTCCCCTCTTCGGTCTTCCCTACCAAAACACAGCCACATCCCCCCTCACCTCACCTCCCTCTCCACCATCACTCCCTGCCAGCCTACCTGCCTATCAGTCTGCGTAAAGCATCATTTCGAAGGCAACCCCCTAATGGCATCCACAGTTCTGTCAGCTTGGTCAGGGCAGTCAGCTCCTGCAGCCCATCATCCGTGACTGCTGTGCCATCCAAATCAAGCCTCTCAAGCCCTGTCAGCCTCCCCACATGCACCATTCCCGCATCCGTCACCCCCCCGCACCTAGAAAGCCATAACACTTTGAGAGAGGAGAGACCTGTCAAGTGCGAGAGGCCAGCATCGGTCACCTTGGTCCGGTGGAGAAAGAGGGTTTCGAGACTGGTCAAGGACCCAATCCCTTCTAAGGCACTGTCTGAGACGACAGTGCCATCCAGGTCTAGCTTCGCTAGCTGTGGCAGCCTGTAGAGGTGCTTGATGCCCTTTGCACTGAAGCCTGAGCTAGACGACAGGTCAATGCGCGTCAGGTGGGTCATGGTGGACACAAGGTGGAGGATGTCGCGGGAGAGGCTGTTGAGATGACTCAGCGTCAACTGGGTCGCTTGTGATGCCGCCTTAATCGCCTGTAGCAAACAGGTGGAGAGGGATTACATGACAATGACAATACATGGCATGTGGAACAATGAACGCCCCCGGGAACAGGATCCCAACACTCACCTTCAATGCTTTCTTCCGATCGCCTTCGCTCTCCCTCATTTCCAGCTCAATATTCAGCTTCATGTCTTGAACGTTCTGCCATTCCTTACAAGCTGCCAACTCCTTCATGACACGTGGCCAGTTCAACTCCTGCACCTCCCTCCTCCTCTCCTCCCTCTCCCTTGCCAACTCTTCTTTGATTTCATCCATTTCCCTTCTAACCTCCTCTCTTATCTCTCTTGAACCTGATTCCATTTTTCGCCCAGCCATATGCCATTGCTCCATCACAGCCTCCTTGTGCTCAGCCAGCTCCCCCTTCACTGCATCCACCTCTCCTTTCGCTGCAGCCAAATCTATCTCCCTCGCTTGCATATCGTCCAGGGCGCGTTTCAACTCATTCACCTCATTCTCCACAGCCCACTTTCCTGCTTCCAACACCAACACTCGCTCATTCTGCCACGCCACCTTATCTGTCACTGCTGCTGCCAATTCTCCCTTGCCAGCTCTCCCTTCACTGATGCCAGTTCCCCCTTCACTACTGCGAATTCCCCCTTCATAGAATTCATTCCCCTCTCACTATCGCAAACAGCCCTCTAACTGCCTCACTAAGCTCATTCACCTCCCGTTCCGCAGCCATCATCTCAATTTGCACCCAAAAAGCGTTCAAATAGGTTTACAAATGCTTCGTTTCTGCCAAGGTAGCTTCAGCCCTGAAATGTGGACAGGAGTGGGGAACAGTGGACTGGATGCAGAATGAAGTGAAGGGAGGGAGGCCATTGGTAGCAGGAGAAGAAGGGGAGTGGTCGTGGGAAGAGGAAGTCACGTTGTGTATTGAGTGGACAGGAGCAGACAAATGGAGAACATATACATGGGGGGGATGAGAGAGGGAAGGGGGGAGAAGGGGGGGGGGGGGGGGGGGGGGTGGAGAGGGTCTAGGTAGGAAATTGGTAGGAGATATGCTTGCAGGTTGTCAATGCTCGAAGGAAACACAAAGGGCGACAGGGGGAACGGTGGGAGTAGGGCAGAAAAATTAAGATGCGATCTGCAATATACGCTGCCCCTAGCGAGCGTCCAGCGTCTTACGTACAGACGCCAGCGTATATACGCTGGACGCTCGCCTTTCTGAGCGTCTATTCCCACATAAAGGGACAAGTAGCAGCAGCGGAAGCAGTGGGAGGAAAGAGCCAAGAGTACCACCAGATAAAAGGATGGGAGAAGCAGCAGCCGCGGGGGAAAGAGAAAATCCAAACCGGATCGGTTGCTTTCTCAAGCATATGGTATGGTGCAGGTGCACTGAGTGCAAGAGAGGTGACGAGGCCATAGATGGAGACGAATCGAGTATATGTGCATCGGGGTCAAGCGAATGCCAAGTGAAGAACGGACGAAAAGGAAACCAAAGGTCCAAGAGGGAGCAAGTTTGATAAAACTCGCGACAAGTGATATGACAGACGTGAATCCAAGGTCGAGGGTGCGGATTTGGGGAGATCAGGGAAATTGGGAGAATGAGCCAGCTCGATGAGACTAACGGCCAACGGAATGACAGTGAGATGTGAATCCAACAGACAGGTGCGAGACAAGGGCGAAAGAGTTGGAAGGAGAGAGCAGAGCAAAGTGATGGAAGCGGATGAAAGAGCACAGTGTGGTGAGAGGTGGATGCAGATAGGCACGCAGTAAATGGAAGCAGCCACAGCAAGGGAAGCACTCGGAAGGAACGGCGAGGCATGCTAAAGGGCAAAAGAGTGCGGAGAGAAGAAGCCATGATGCGGCGAGTACGGACCTCGTGAGGGGGAGTGACGAGGCGAGCAAAGAGATGGATGGCGTGGGCCGGCGCACCTCGTTAGGTGAACCCAAGAATGGATTGGATTGGACTGGAGCACCCGAACGGAAAGCGCAATCTGGTGGCAAGAGAAACGAACAGGCCGAAAGTGCATGAATTCCGTCAAAAGCATTGATTCTTATGACAATGGGAGGAAGAAAACGGTTGGTTAAGAAAGCAAGGAGGAAAAAGAATAAACAAACGAACTCGGTTGCAGAAGTAGTAGCAGAAGACGAGAAGATGGGGCAGAAGAAGATTGGACATGAGAAGATGAAACATGGAAGTGAATTGAAACATGGAAAGCGCAGCAAGGCAGGGGTGGAAGGGAAGGAGCAGGACGCAACGGTAGGAAAAGTGAGGTAGGGAAAGCACAGGAGAAGAGGGGCAGCGGCGAGGCACCAGTGACACAACGGATGAGGGCTGTGCGTACCTTGTGTGTGGAAGGGCGGCAGCGGCGAGGAGGCCGTTGGGAGGCAGGAGCTTCTCAGCAGACAGATTGACAACGCTCAGCATCCAGGGGGAAGAAACGTTGGGAGAAAGATTAACGCCACACGAGGTAACGGAGAGGGAAGTGTGCTAGCAGGAAGATCTTGGCGGGAGTGGAAAAAATAACTCGATGCTGATGCTGGCTTACAGCGAGGGAAGGGAGAGGGGGCAGGGAGAGGGCCGATGGAAGAACAGGATGATGAAACGAGGGAGGCATGTCACCTCCGAGGTGCCATGAGTCATGCACAGCACGCGCTACGCCACTCGTCATCCGCTCGCCTCGCACGCCCATCCCGCCATCTCTCGATGGGATACAAATTTATTGCACCGTTCGCCTCTCTCGATCCCATTTCGCCAGTCACTTGTCGTTCGAAGTCTAACCAATCGCATCGACGAGCCGCGCCCAGCACTCCATCGCGGGTACTATGTTTCGACGGGGTGGATACTGTCCATCCAGTGAAAGCTACATCATGCCTATTCGCGCCTCATACGAACCAAGGATAAACGCATCCCCACAGCGTCAACCTCGCCGTGGCGTGACGTGACGGTATCATGACGTGGCACGGCGACGGTGCCACAGCTGAAAGTTCTCGACCGCACCGAATTGACATGCAGTGCTTGCGTGCTGTCATCGAATGGAAAACATTTGGGGAGTGACCGTGAACCTTGGCTTAAAGCCCGAGTCTAGAATGGCAACTTTTCAAGTTCAAGATTCTTGAACTTGAATTCGCCCCCCCTCCCGTCGCCTATTAGGTGGCTCTCCCTTCCCGCGTCCGTCCATCGCTCACGCTTACTCTGAGTGTCTCCCACGCTCTCCCATCATATCGCTGGCCTTCACATGACCATCGCTTGCCCATTCCGTCGCTTTCCCAACACCTTTCAAGTTCAGTATTCTTGAAGCCTTACCATTCTAGACTCGGGCTTTAAAGCGACGGTGCACATTTGCCACCCAAAACCCAGAACCCTGGCGAACTGTTACTGCGGATGGAAAGTGTCCGCACGAAATCCTGGTTTTCGCCAGCCAGCACTTTCGCGCTGGCAAGCCTGGTTAAAAAAAAAAACTTCTGAACCCAACACTGCCAAAAGTTGCCCGTCGCTTTAACCGTCGTCTCCAATGTGCTCTATAAATCGACCGCGCGACGTTTCCAATACGTCCTCTTTATAAATAAATATGGCTGTCATATGAGTTTGATTTGGAGTGACTGGAGATTGCATCATTAGGGGGCTGTTCGCCAGCACCAATGCGCAAAACAACATGGGAACCGACGGGATCAGGAAGGTGGGTCTCGCCTTCCTGATCCCGTCAGTTAGGGTTCGTTTACCTCCGTCAGCCTAGTCAGCCCGTAAAAAAGGTGCCGAGCCTCCCCAACCGTCCAAACCAACAATCAAAGTGGGTGTCTGGCAAAACGAACTGCTCGACGACATATGGAAGCGGGGACGCAACTTCGTCCCCAGGCAAAGTTCCATCCCCAAGCCATGCCATCGCCATGCTGCGTTTTTCGAAGCACAGCGATGGCACAGCCGTCACATTGCCGTTCAAAGGGGATTGGGGGGAAGGTGGGGACGGAGATTCCCGATGCGGTTGCGAAATTTCGCAACCGCAGGCGCAGAAGTTTCTTGAACGGCATTACGGCCAAACCTCGGAGGTGGGTTCCGCCTCCGTTTCCAGATGCGGTCGCGATGCCGATGCCATCTCTTTCATTTCAAATTACGATTTCCTGGCGAACAGCACCTAGGGTTGGGTCAGTAGGGCTGGGCATTTCGTCAAGGTCGCGTTTGAACTCATCTGGTATCATGGGGTTACATTACAACGCAAAATGACTTGCACATTCCCCCCAGCAGCCTCAATGAAACATCTCGACCGTACCAGACTGCGATGACTTCAATTTGAACCCTGTATTCGAAGTGTTCGGTTCGGGCTTCTTGTTTCGCCCTGCTACACACAGTGACGCGAAACCTTATGGGCCGAATTCGCGAACCTGGGTGTTGGTTAGCCCCTCGAAATCTCTTGGTTCGGACATGCAAATCTTGGCGTGAAATCACCACAGCAACATTTCCTAGTTAGCACATGAAACGTTGCTGGCATGGAAGTAGCAGCCTTAGTAGGCTAGGAAAACGAGGATAGAGTGCTCTCTGGAGTTCTTTGGAAATTGCACTATGACTTCACAAATTTCACAGTACAATTTTATAGAGCACATTCAAATATCGAGTCGCACTCCCAAGTCGCGACTCTCTCTGAATTTCTCAATGGTAACCCAACCCCTTTGAAATGAACCTGCCGTGAAATTCAGAGAATTATTGCGGTACGGGATTGGACGGCGGGCTTGGTTACGGGGCTGTAATTTCGTCGGTGTTGTTGGCGAAGTCGGCGAGCGGTCGGAACTTCGGTGTTCTGCGTTTCGTAATTTTCGCGCGAGGGTTTGTGTTGGGCTGCGCGTCAGGACCTGGTCGCCCAGCTGCAGGTTGAGGCGTTTGACCAATACGAACAGTTGGTGAGGTGGCGCTTGACTTCCGCCCACCTGCACTGTACTTGGCAGCATTCGGCTGCCACACTGTTACATTACTTCCCCCTCCAAGTGGCGCCGTCCACGGCGCCAAACCGTGGCTGGTCAAATACCGATTCACAGCAGTTGCGGCACGGTCAAGGTGGCTCTCTGGTTCCCATGAGTCGTCACTAGTGGGCTGGTCCTTCCAATGAACAAGAAACTCGCGACCATGAGGTGTGTCGCGATGTGCAGCGATAGATGCAACCTCAAACAGGCCGGGGCTGCCTTCGAACATCGGTGGCAGTTGGCGTGTGGCTGGACGGTCGTGTGAAGGTGCACGGAAAGGGCGGAGGCGCTGGACATGGAAGACGGGGTGAATCTTCATATAGCTGGGCAGTTGGAGACGGTAGGTGACTGGTGAGAGGACTCGGGTGATGGTGAACGGGCCAATAAAGCGAGGGGCGAGTTTTCTGGTTGTGCCTTTGCGTAGGAGAGGTAGGTGGTCAGTGGAGAGTAACACTTGATCGCCAACCTTGAAGCGTATATATTTGCGGTGGGAGTTGGCATAGTGGGTCTGTGACGCATCCCCTGCCTAGCATGAGGGAGAAGTCAATAGCAAATTTTTTGAATAATCAACTAGCACATGAAACAATACAATCTGTTAACTCTAAAAAAGAGGTTCACGCTATCAAATCCAGTTCAAGGTGGCAAACAGAGGAGTCACTGAGTGCGCCAATGAACCAATGAGAAATGATAGAAATGAACCCCTTTTTGAAAATTGACTGACATGCATTGATATTGCAATGATAGGTGAGATGAATGCACTCACACAAGCAAACACATTCACAAGAAAAAAAAAACACGAGCTCTGGAAAAACCCAGCGAAAAAACACGCGATACTAAAATAACAAGCAAATCGACGTTAAAAGGATATTACGATAAATCCTAGTGACCAGTATACATTCTCCATATTGAAATCGCCTTCCTGACCAGCAAGGCTCCTGAGAAACGGGTATAGGAAGTGGAAAGGAGAAAAGGAAAGAAATAACCGGTACAACAAACAAATCAGAAAATGATATGAGGTGTGATGAAATGAAGGGAAACTGGAATAACGAAGAAACGAATGAAACCATATAAGGGCTAACAATTGAATGGTTAGAGCTGACAAAGAGCAAGGAGAAGTATGTACCGAGGCGTAAAACGAAAGTAAGGAACGGGAACAGAGGGAAAAACACATAACGAGACAGGAGAATATAAAGAAATTCGGAGAGCGAGAACAACAGAGAGCGAGAGCGAGAGGACGAGAGAGAGAGAGAGGACGAGAGAGCGAGGACAAGAGAGAGAGGGGGCGAACGAGAGAGAACGAACGAGAGACAAAGAACGAGAGAAAGAGAACGAAAGAGAGAGAACGAGAGAGAGAGAGAGAGAGAAAGAGAGAGAGAGAGAGAGAGAGAGAGAGAGAGAGAGAGAGAGAGAGAGAGAGAGAGAGAGAGAGAGAGAGAGAGAACGAGAGAGAGAGAACGAGAAAGAGAGAACGAGAGAGAGAGAGAATGAGAGAAAACGAGAGAGAGAGAGAGAACAAGAGAGAGAGAGAGAGAGAGAGAGAGAGAGAGAGAGAGAGAGAGAGAGAGAGAGAGAGAGAGAGAGAGAGAGAGAGAGAGAGAGAGAATGTGAGCTTGTTTGATGGTAGAGGGTCGGCTTGCCGTTATTGGTAGCAACCGCATGTCATACATATTGTCAAAGGCCAGGTTGATGGCATCTCTAGAGTTGACAACTACTTAGTATCCACTTCTGCAATGCTTGTACCTTTCTGACCCTATCAATGAAGGACTGCTTGAGAGAGAGAGAGAGAGAGAGAGAGAGAGAGAGAGAGAGAGAGAGAGAGAGAGAGAGAGAGAGAGATACGGGTGCCTAGGCCACCATGCTTGCTAGGATTGCTGTTGATTTGCTTGTACCTTATACGCACATCAATGAAGGACTGAATGAGAGAGAGAGAGAGAGAGAGAGAGAGAGAGAGAGAGAGAGAGAGAGAGAGAGAGAGAGAGAGAGAGAGAGAAAGAGAGAGAGAGAGAGAGAGAGAAAGAGAGAGAGAGAGAGAGAGAGAGAGAGAGAAAGAGAGAGAGAGAGAGAGAGAGAGAGAGAGAGAGAGAGAGAGAGAGAGAGAGAGAGAGAGAGACGAGAGATAGAGAGGGAAAGAATGACTTGGATTCCCAACACTAGCTTGTGAATGGGCTGATAAACAGAGGACAGGTTTCAAGAGGGGGTAGGTGGGAGAGGGGGACATATACGAGAGGAACGACAAGCAATGATAGCGATTTAAGATAATGTACGGGGCCAAGCGAAAATAATGGGCGTAAGCGACGCCACCACGACATATAAGAAGATAGGACAGTTCTAAACCGAGGAAGAGCAAAACATGAAAAGAACTATGCAAAAATGAGGAAGTAAAGATTCAAGACAGGAAACGAAATACGGATGAAGAACGGAAAAAAACAGATGCCCCATGAATGACAACAGAAGGAAAAGCTGAAAACTTTACAAAGGGTCTAGATCGTAAACTTAAACAACTTCGCATCCCTTAGAAACGATTAACATTACGAAATGTTAATGTACTAAGGGATGTTAGTCGTTTCGAAGGGATGTTAGTCTATATCATAATCAAGCAACTTAGATTTACTTGATAGATCTACTTGATAGGTTAGGAACTTCTCATCTTGGGCTGATAAGTGGTTCTTGACTGGTGGGCGAACAAAGAACCAAGCTAAGGAGCGAGTAAAAAACCCTA